CTCCTAGTAGTAAGGCCAGGAGCCCCTAGTAGCGTCCTTGCTCCTAGAATCTTCCATGAACCCAACAGAAGTTTCAAGCTTTGTCCAAAAGCACCGTGCGAGTCCTGGCCACCCTGCCTGAAAATCTTTGTCGAGGCCTGGGTGGAATAGCAGTCCACTGGACTCACTTGCTTTGGCTAGGAAAAAAGGAGATACAAACAAAGAAGGTGTTTGTGAGCCTTATTAAAGGCGGGCTTACCTTCCTTTCTTACATTATCTTTTTTATAACTTCAGAACTCTGTCATCAGCTGTTGGAAAAATCGATGGCAACAAATGCGAGGTCCTCGCTGAAGATCTGCCAAGGAAATCAGCGGAGCAGCGGGCTTCAAGTCTTGTTCCCTCGCCATCAAAGACTCTTCGCTTTGACATGTCCCCCTTGATCGTGCCTGAATTCTTTTGAAACAAAAAACAAGGAGGAGAGCAAGCTTGTGAGTTTGATTATTTTTATTCAGCGTTTGGGATGGTGCTTGCTCCCTCTCACTACAGTTAGTCAGTTTGGCCTCATCATATATATATATATATGTATGTGTATACAGCTGGTTATTCTTTGATCAAAAAAGGCAAATTCCTAGGCAAATGAGGCTTGTACACCCATGTTTTAGCGTAGAAACACAATTCAGCAACCAGATAGATTAGATCGATTGAAATCAAACACTACTGTATGCTACTTAATGTGCTACTTAATGTGGATTCGCAGACTCGTGTGGTATGCAAGAGGTGTCAGCAGTAGGAATCCCAAACACAATCTCATGGAGCAAGCCAACATCACATTTGGAAGGGTTCGATGACTTTCAGAATGGAGCAAATACACGGCTTCTCAAGCTTGCAATGCAACTAGACCGAAGGGATGCTGTCAAGAAAAATGTAGTTTCTCGGAACATCAGAGCAAACTCCTGGAGACATGGGGCCCCGGCTCAATTTCATACTCAGCACCTCATAAGCATTGGGATAAAACAGATTGGAGCCTATGCCGGAAAACAGTGTGGTGCTTGATGCATTGAGGCTGCAACCGTCCTCCCAAATAATCGTGTACGTACCGGATTCATTGATACATTTTACTCGGGCCTCACACAGCTTGCAAATGCAAGAACACAACAACAATGTGCAAGAAAAGGGAAGGCCATGGGATGCCCTTCTGATGTAGGAACATCAGAGACTGTTGCTGGTTCCTGTCCGAATTCTGCATTCAAAAGGCTTGGAAGACCATCCTGACTGAGCAGCATGCTGGATACCATACGTTGTCTTCATGATAGAGCCCCTCAACTTTGTTGCCTGCCTGGGCAATGGTGTGCCATGGTGTGTTGCATCAAATTGCGATACTGCACTTCAAGTGCATACCATTTCTGTGTGTGTGCCTGTTCTCCAAATCCAAGATGCGCACACTGAAGCCAAAGTCTCTCTCTGCGCGTTTGAGAAGCCTTGGTGGACTTACAACTAGGGCACATTTTGTCTGCACACACTGCATATATATATAATATATAGATAGAGAGAGCGAGAGATAAATATTGGCAAACTTTGCCACCTGCCCTAAAGGTACAGAACAGGACGCCCTCAGCGTGCGCATATTGCGCATGTTCTACCTAATTGTATTTTACTACTATCTTGTACTACTCTCATTATTGTCTTAATACATCTTAATACTATATAGTTTGGTAATGTTTGGTATGTTTTGGTTGTTACTTGCTTGTGCTAAGAATTCAGGGTTTTGTTTTTTTTGTGTTTTCTATAGTGAATAGTGTCTGTTGAAAAGGTGCACGCTCACAGCGTCCCGCTCTCGAAAAGTAAAACGAGATTTCTACTGAAATTCTTGGACCAAAACCTCATGTTCTCAGCCTTCTGGGTGTGCTCGAAGCCATCCTGTGAATGTCGCGTGACAACAATATACAACAATTGCAGTACCAGAAGAAACCTGTTCAGCCTCCGTCCATGAGATTAAGTAGGTCTCATCCCCATTGTCGCATTGTACCAACGCCTGACTCTTGTCAAAATATCAAGGATGGCTGTGACACTGCAGGAAATTCTTCGATGTGAAGGAATAGTCTGCAGAACAGCCTCTGTGACATATTCATTACATTTGTTGCGTGTGCGCGTGTGCCCACACACACAAACGTAGAGCATCACACAGCTACTTCGTCTTTTGGCCTCATACTCCTCTTCCTCTTCCTCGAAGAGTGCCATGACCTTCCAATGAGAAGGCATACTGCGAGCAGTGGACACAAGCAAAGCAGTCTGTCATAGCATCCATACCAGTACAAACCTTGTGTTGAGACCTTCATGCAAACCAATGTTGCCCTTTATAGTCGGATTCATATGCGAGAACAAAAAGTGTAATACCATGTAATACCCCAAATGCTACTAGGCTAGGCTAGACATCAGGAAAATAACTTGCTTCGACTGCTTCGACTTGTCTCAGTTCACAATGTCTGCAGGCCTTGTCACCGACAGAGAACCCAGCAGCCGCTGCTGCGTCTTTGGGGTTCACCTGCGAATCGCCATGATGGTGCCCATTGACATGTTGCATCAAATGCTGCAAGTGTCTAATGCAGCAGCAAAATGAAGGCTTGCGAACAGCCGCTATCAAAGCTTCTTGCCTCTGAGGCAGCGTCTTCCAGTCGAGCCTCTTCAGTTCTGCTGATTTGTGGATGTCATGTGATCAATCAATGCTCATGTCAATGCCGTCTGTTAAGGTTTGGACGACCAAGTCTGCTTTGCGCCCTAATTTGCTTAGGCCGAGCTCAGAACATTTTGCCTGCGGAGCCGTTGCTCAGATTTGTTCAGTGCTAAAATGACACGGACATTGACTCTGCTGCGGGTCCTTGAGCTGGGCAACAGTCAAACGTGAGTAGCCTGTCCAACTGCGAATACATGCATCCCTTTGCATTCCTGCTGCATATCCATAGAAAAATACCAAGGTGAAGTCGTTTTTAAAATATATACGTATTTTAGAATCTTTCCTAAGCAGGATTGACCAGGATTCTTGCATAGAATGACCGAGCCCTCTTGAGGCTTGGCCACCAAGCTTCCGCCAAGGAATGATAGGATGAAATTTGGAAGATGATGAAATCAACGTCCCTAAGAAAGGAGCGCACAAAAGGATACAACAGGTACAAACGATGCCTTTCCAAGGCGTAAAAGCGTCGTTACGGTCTGCCTCCGCTCAACCCTTCGGACTCGGCCTCAGCACAGGCTTGGGAAGAGTCCAACAAATATGCACTTGGCAAGCAAATCTATATACTTTCAAGAAAACAATAGCGATGCCTATTGATGCTACTGTGACCTCCACTCTAATAAGTGTTCTTTCCCAAATGTGCAATATGCAGTGCCAACGGGGGGGGGTAGCCCCGCCGGCAACATATATCCGATCCGTTGACTGGTCTTTCAGGGTGGGGGGGGGGGGCTTGGGGTCAGCTTCGTCCGTGTTACTAATTACTCGCGTACATCGACTTTGACGTTGACTTGTCGACTCGGTGACCTTTCGTTCGCTCGGTGACCGCTTTTCTTGGCTTAGAGGACGACGTTCGAGGTTTGTTCTAACACTGCGTAGAATGGGTTTTCTTGGCCGTTGCGATGCAAAGCTGCAACGACAGCACGTTGAAGGCCTCGCAGCGTTGTGGTTCCGCCAACATCCAGGGTTCGACTCAGTGCTCGAGGCTGTCAGAATACATAGAGAAGCTGTGCAAGAGCTCAAATGTACAGTGAGCTCAAATGGCTCAATTGGGAACAAGACTTATGTCTGGCGGCTGAAAAATGAGCCTTGGCAAGCTGTACATGGAGCAGGCAGGTGAGTTGGGTCCGTCAAAACGCATTCAACTTACCGTCTTGCAACTCATGAGTTGCAAGACGATAAGTTGAGTGTCCGGAAAGCCACGAAGCCCTGTAAAACACAGGGTTTTTCACCCTCGGTGTGTTGCGTTCGGGGCTAACCCCCCCGTTTACCCAATATGCAGTATGAGTACTAGTAGTATGCACCTTTGTTTTCAACCATTCAATGCAGAACATCTTTGAAGATCCCGGCCTCTTGAAGCCTCTTCACGAGAACGGCCTTGAGCCCAGAAGTTGGAAGACCTAATGCTATGTAGCGCCAGTGGCACAAGCTGCTACTGTAATTCTTTGGCTTTCAGCGCCTTGAGCCATTCTGAGGCACAAGAGCTTACATATAACTGAGTACCTGACCTTTCTCTCTGAGCTTCTCCTTATCATATGATCTTACAGGTGTCTGTCATGCAGATCCTGTAACGTTTGTTCCGGCCGAATTGATAGGAACAGTTCCTTGCTATTCCTTTGTGTAAGTCGTGATAGCTGCCTTCAGCGTTGCCACAGTCATAGACGAAGCACCTCACACCGGTGAATACAATTCCTCTGCTCAGTTCAAGTGGAGGCGAAGGACTTGGGCTGCGGCTTCTCACGCCCAGCGCAAAAGAGACCTGACTTTGAGGATCTTTGAGGCTTCTATTTCTGTGGCTTCTATTCATCATATTTGAGACAGGCAAGAAACTGCAAGTAGTAGTATAAGTATAGTCTTTGAACATGTTGACTTCCACATATCCGAGTACTGAACTGCTGCAACTTGCGCTGCAACAATGGCAGCTGTTACAACGCATCCTAAGAGTCGCCGCGCCTGAAGCAAACATGATACACCAACACACCTTCGATTCAGCAGAGATCGTGCTTATCGAGTCATACGGTATCAACTCACGATTCATACAGAAGTGTTGCAAATCGTGTTGCAGGCCGCACAATCGGATGAGTTATGAATTGACTTCTTTGAGCTTCTTCGGCCTGCCTTTGCATGACACCTGGAAGCTACCATAGCAGCCATTCCTTCAGGCAGTTGACTGTTTCGGACAGGATCATTTTAGATTCCCCTCAAAAGAACTCAAACGATTGTGATTGAACTCTTGTGTACTCAAACTGGATGGTTGTCCGTTCGCTGGGTTTACCGTAAGCAGCATTGAAAGCGGGAAGCGAGGGTCCAGCCAGCCAGAAACGTTTGCAGCACACAGCTACTTCAAAGCCGACTGCCGAAGCCCGGCTCAGAACGCTTCTATCGAGAGCCAGGTCCAAAAGCGCATGTAGTATCACAGGTCAGGTGCTGGCATTCACACACCATGTCATGTGCAGCTGAGTGTCGTAATAAATTTAGAATATAATTGTATTCGTGAGTCTGTTGTCTACAGCTCCGATCCCTCGCCCATTTTGATTATTTCAAACGCAAAGGTTGAGAGGTCATCTGGAAGTGAGAGGTCCTCTTTGACCTTGCTTGAAGACCCTAATAATACACATCGTGGCGCCACACAAAGGCTTTCAACAGAGATGACATCACAAGCTGTTCAGATTGTTTAAGTTTAATGATTTGCTTACCACAACTTGCTGACTTCTGTGCCTGCATATGTGTACATGTGTATGGCAACCAAGATGACAGCCCTCTCTATGGGTTTCTTTTCCACCTTGGGAAAGGCCCTGAATCGCAGAGGAAAGCAACCGCTCTGATTGGAGCGAATGGGAAGTTGCAGCACCCTCTGTGAATCTACATGAGACGCGTCACTATCTATCTTATCATATTATCTATCTTATCGACTTGCCTGCAGCTGATTTGGTACGATGTGATGAGATATTTATATCAATCATGTGCTCATCGCAGGCAACTTCTTCTGAGGACTAGGTCACTGCAGAGCGCAGCAAGCCAAGTACGTCAGATCCACAAATTTTGTGAAACAGTGAGACGACTGAGAGACAAAGCGCTAACATGCGCTAACCCAATTAAAACTTCTCGCTAGTATGAAAGCTCTGAAGGTCTCAGCTGCGAATCTTTCCAGGGACCCACAAAAGCTTCCATACTAGTGGGAGTTCTGAACATTTCGAGCAGTCACATCATGATATCATTCTTGCAATGTCCGAGGATTTTAGTTTTTGATGAGAAGAATCGTCAAACTGCTGTTTAATGCGCAAACAAGCTATCACTCAACTCTACACATTGAACAAAATTTCACAAATTGAGCTTCTGAACTTCTCGTTGCTCTTTCAGACCCCTAGGATCTCTAAGCGCAGTCAGTGCTTTTGGCGTTCGCTAGCCTCGAGCCAAGGGACCAGGTCCCGGACCTGCTATTGAAGGAAACGCAAACAATTCTCAGCGTGAATTCTGAACATGTCTCGCCTGTTTATGACTTCTACGAGGGAACTTGTATGAACTGTGTAATGTTTTCTACAACACGAAGGGTAGCTTTGAGCCTGTCGATTCTTGAAGCCTATTGTCTATGCTCGATCTGTCTCGACAAAGCAGCCAGTCGCTCTCTGCCTCCCATAGCAACGTTTGGGTACATCTCCCGCAGCATGGCGCTTTGGGCCTTTGAACATTCGAACATTGGCCTTTGCAAGAATATTGGTTCAGATGAACTTTAACTTGGAAAGCCGGCCTGAATGGAGGGATTAATGCCTGGCAAGGAAAGCAGCTCTGCTGAGATCTGCCGAAGGCTTTCAGCTCCGCTCAGCTCTGCTTTTGCTTTATCTAGCTCCTACTTAATTAATTAGGCGCCTACTTAAGTAATCTTAAATAGACAAGTAACGGAGTACTTTGCTACTAGGTATTAGTTAGCTTCTAGCAACTGGATGCAGGATAGATCACGCTTCTTCAAGGAAGCTACCCCTGCCTGAGGGCGGGGAGGAGCTTCCTTGAAGAGAAGCGCTCGCACTAATGATTTGGTTCCTAGATTTTTGTGGAAACTTACGAATCTGCAAGTATTTCAAATACCAGTAGGACTCACGGCAGCAAATCAAGGCTGGTGAGACCGATTGGTACCTGCCCAGGCCCTTTGGAGCTAGAACGCCGGGACCTTGAGTCAGCTGAATAGAACTACGAATTGTCAATGTGAATGCGAACTGTCATCGGACTGCAGTCAACTTCCGATGGGCTAAGTCATACTTCTTGCAAAGTCCTATGATTCCAGATTTCCTCGAGTCAAGGTGATGAAGCTGAGGCGAATGCCCCTTGTGGAATGGATGCCCACCACCTGGTTTAGAAAGCGCATACGGGCATGTATTAGCTATACTTTGCACATAAATCCTTTGCGCATCTCTTGCAATTGCTGGCTGATCCGGGCTTGCTTGTTGGCTTGCCTCCCTCTCCAAGACCAAGTGGTTCCCAATTGGCCTACCACACGGTTGCTGAATAAATTGTGACGTGAACCCAAACACACTTCATTGCTAAAACGGTTGCTTCCTTGGAAGGACAGGTCTAAGCGTGGGCATTACTCATGCAAAGAAAAGTCCTTTGCCCGAAACAAACATGGCCTAGTCTTGTGTTGCGATATCTATCCGGTCGAGCATTCCAAGTTAATTACATGAAATTACACAACACGCAGCGCTTTTCGCGAAGATTTTGAGGAGGTGTAGTAGTGCTGATAAAAGCTTGTGAGGAGTAATGATTGCAAGTAGGGCCATCCTTCTGGCCCGACCTGGACATTCAGCCCTCCGCGGCTGATCAGTGGAGGGGAGGCCTGAAGAGATGGGAGCAAAATGTGGCATTTGTTACTACTAGTAAGGCACTTGTTACTACTAGCGTGGCACTTGTTACTGTCAAGTGTTATAAGTTTCTAAAATTTCGCCACTGGGTCACCGGCAAGCATTCGACCATCCCAACCTGCCAAAACAGGAAAATGAGTGAAAGTTCCAGTTCCACTCATCTGAAAGGTCCTGAATCCAAGATCCGAACTTGGGTCAAAGTGATTCAGAATGACTGCAACAGCAAAACTAGACACGACTGGGTGGCTGGCCAGCTCCACCTGTTCGGAATGAGCACAAGTTGTGGACGAGTTATATGGAAACTGCTTGCAGCGTCTCTTTGTGTGGGGAATTTGTGCGATTTAGCCACTTAGCACTCACATGCGCTTGGCAAGCTTACCAAAACATACAGCACAATGCAAAACAGCATCATATAGCATGCATGACTGGAGCCCAACTGTACTCAACAAGAATTGGCACGGGAGCTACAAGATGCTGCAAGTAGTTGATAGTAATTGTGTAAGTCTACTGTTCCAAGTCGTGGACATGGTACCCTGCCAAACGCTACATCACATCACCAGTGTCTCTGGACTCATGCAAGTTTCGTTCCTCTGTCCGTTGGCACCAACCAATGAGCCTCCGTAGGAATCTCGGCGATAGGATCTGGAGGAACGCCTCGAGAAACCAGTCACACGAGATGCGATTTGCTGCAGATGCGGAGACTTGGTTAGATCTTTTATTCTTGTCCATTTGCTTTAGGCCATTAGACCTATCTTTTTCCTTCCCTCATTTCCTTTCACTGGTGCCTAACTGCAATCCCACGAGCTGGAGATGCAAAGGGACTTTCTTCCACCTAGGGATGTGATATGACGCCATGATACGTCATGTAGCGCCATGCACACCGTTGAACACTGCTCAAAGCGTTCTGAAGCTACTCAGTTGCTCCCACCGCCAACGTCAAAGTGTGTCTTTATGTCTATGAGGTATCCACCAATGCGGCCATAGGTGGTCTGGCTACTCGACCTCGAACCCACAAATCTCCCATGGCTATGAGCAATGATAGGTTGTTTGGAAGAACATGCAGGAGTCTCAGAAGCTACGGAGTTGGTGACATAGAATGTGGCGGAGAAAGACACATCTTGCAACGAAGCAAATCGTTGGAGTCTCTCAGTGGACTCTCACAGCCATACACAACAAACTTGTTCTTTTCATTTGGTCTAACCACTAAGGGGTCGCACTTGGATGCACAGCTGCAGGAGCTGCTGACACCTCATGATATGTAGCTGCCAAGAAACCATAATAGCTCCATGTCCATGCATGTCCAGGAAAGTGTCAGTATGTTACTGATGTAGGACCTTACAGTATTGTCAGGATCGCAACAGTTCTCGTGCATTCAATCAGACTTGACATGTTCAAGGACAAGCTGTCAATCCATGTATAAATATATATATATATAACTAACTATATTTTTTATGTGTGTGTATAATGTAATGGCACAATAATTCAATGTATCCTGACCACCCTCGGGTTTCAACAGAGCTGGGATTGTAGGACACGGCATGTGCCTGGCTCAAAGAGCAAAGGCTTAGGTGCTGCAGATCTTCGGGCAAACCGTGCAAAATAACCAACAGGACCCTGCTCTGTGGTTCAGGTGGACGATATTCCAAAAAAGTGGGATTACGGTTACGGAAGTGTTTCTGCAACGAACCGCGGATTGATCTCGCCAGCCAAAGACAAAGCCTCTGGAATTTCAGAAGCTGCAATCATCCTGGGCAAGATGGGAGCTTGATGAATGACAGCTATTGTCTTGTCATGCTGCCAGTCCTCGACTGCCCCTGGAGAAGCTCAGACAACGAATCAGCAGGCCACACGTTAGAGCCACCTCAACTACAACCAGCAAAATCCTCGCGTCTTTTTTCGCATCGGTGTGTTAGTTTCTCTGCTTGCTCAGGCCTGATGCACTTGGTTGGGCGACTTCGGGCGATTTCTCACCCCAAGTGTGCATGTCCTGCAGGTTCATTCAAGAAATACAACACAAATTTGATAAATTGATCAACTTTAGTGAAAAAAATGTCTAGCGCTAAATTAGATTAGATCAGCTTTTCACTTTGCGTTGTGCAACTGGTATCCGCTTGAACAACTATGAATTATGAAGGTCCGAGGCTGCAGCAGCTGCTGGAGTGCCTGGCACTGTGGGTCGGTCCACTGCTGCAACCGTTGTCCCACTCTGGGGTTCATTCGATTGTATGCGTGCGAAACAGATTATATATACTAGGAGCAAGAACGCTACTAGGAGCAAAGGGCATCCCTACTAGG